CGAACACCACGGCGGTTGGAGCCCCTGAACTCAGCCTATTGGGTAGGCGTCGTTGATCCTCACCCAGGCACCAGAATAACTTCTAGAACTAGCGTCTCAGATTGACAAGAGAGCGACATCCCACAAACAACTGAATGGACTCGTCATTTGAGTGGACATAGCCATCTATATAGGAGCCTAGAAAGTAACTGAGTGAAAGAAAAGATGCGAAGCGAATGTTGACAACAGTCTAAGGGGAAAGTGGGAACTACGTAAGCGGACAGTTAACAGTCACGTGAGCTCCCGTCGCGTTAGTACCCGCTAAAGACACATTAACGCGTCAAACGGCGGAGCTTCCTGGAACCTCTCTTTCACTTCGATGACGGCCTCTATAGGCCCGTGGCAACTTTGTCTCGCTCCAACTCTCGCTTTCTCCAGTATGATGCCCTCAAAACTCCGAGCTCCAACTTGCTAAGATGGCTTCGAAGCTGGCTTTGAAGTATAATTACAGCTACAACAGCGACACGGACGCGAGCAGCGACTACGACTTCGACCTGACTGCTGAGGAGGAGGATCTGCTCGAGACTATTGTTGCCAGCGCTTCTTCTACCAAGCCATCTGCGGCTATTGTTCCTGGGCCAACTGCCCACGCCACCGCTGGCGCATCGTCTCTGAGGTCGGATATCGCGGCAGCATTCGCCACCCATGCGAGCGTCAAGTCTCCGCACGAGTCCGAGATCAACTTCAACGTTCGAGAGGTCCTGGGGGACCCGGGATTTACCTATCGCGATGACCTCTCGGTACTATCAGGTCTGGCGGCCAATGGTGGTAAACGCACAGCAGGTGTGGATGACGAGGACATCGACACCGAGGTCATGGCCATTATTGAGGAAGCAGAGCGTGCCATGCCTCAACCAAGTCAGGTCGGCGACATCAGATACCCTGATTGTGAGTGGCCACTGTTGCTATAGCTTGTTGTCCAAGTGTGCAGGATGGGTCTGACTGACTTCAAGCGTCTAGTGAGCCGAGCATTAGGGAGTGTTATGGATAATTCAGACCCTAACGTGACTGTCGACCAAGATCAGCAGCAACGGCTGTCGCCACTACTTCGCTTCCGAAGCTTCCCCAAGAAACCCTTTTCTGTCTCGGACCTGGTCGCCGGCGCTTGGTGCGAACTACAGTATTTCTATACCCTCACTAAGCTTCCGGGAGGGAAGAAGACGCGGACAGCTGCTATGAAGGGCGGCTCGAAATTCCACCAGAAGCTCGAGGACGAAATCTACACCACCGTCACGATAGAGATCACGAAGAAAGAGGACGCTTTCGGTCTGAAGATTTGGAACTTGATACAAGGCCTTCGCACTCTGCGCGACACCGGCATGACAAGAGAGCTAGAGGTTTGGGGTCTTGTTGACGGCCATGTGGTGAACGGTGTTATTGACAACCTGAGCTACGAAAATCCGGATCCAGAGTTTGAAGAGGAGGTCAGGAGCAGCCAGAGCAGCCAGGAACCGACCAAGGGCGCGTCGAATGATCAAAAGATCACTACGTTCTTCCATTCCTCGGCTCAGCCCACAAACCGGCAGATATTTATCACGGATGTCAAGACCCGCGCTTCGCGTCACATACCATCTGGCGCTGCCCTGCGTCCGACGACCATCCAGCTGTTTCTTTACCACCGATTCCTCTCTGAGATGGCCGCCGGTCGGCTGGATTTTCTGCGCGTCCTCGCTCGTTATGGCCTCAAACCGGACGAGCAACTCTCCGACACATTCATCAGTCAGATAGGAAGCCTACACGACGAGATATTCCAAGACGCCGTCGACGACTCCACTACCAAACCGGCTTCTAGTCCCGTCTCATCCACTCCATCATCAACACCCGACCTAATCAGATACCGGACCCTAAGGCAATTGACATCCCTCCTCGAAACCGAACTTCGCCTCACCTTCCCCGACGGAGCAGGGTCCGTCGGCTCGCTCGTCAACGTGGAGTACCGCAGACGGGCGAGGAGGAACGCGGACGGACTGGAAGACCCGGACGACGAACAAGCCGGGTCCCTCTTGGGCGCGAACGTGCTTTTTGTTGACCCGAGTGCTCTGGACCTCTACCTCCGGACGGATCTGGAGTGGTGGGAGGGCAAGAGACCCCCGCGCGGCGTCCAGATCGAGGAGGCCTATAAGTGCCGCAGTTGCGAGTTTGCTGATGAGTGCGAGTGGCGCCAGAAGCAGGACGCTGATATCCTTGCGGCCGTCAAGAAGAGAGTTGCTGGGAGGAAACTGAAGGATGGTAGGTAGTCCTGTGTCCGGGAGGAGAGCATATCCCAGCGTGGCATGTCGATCTATCTCTCCTCGTCAGCACGCAGCGGGTTCCTACCTTTCGTCTGCGCGATGCCAGAACATTTTGAACCGATGGAGCAACTCGTCTCTTAATGGTCGGCCCAAAAGTTGATCGCAGACCGCAGGGGGACCCCAGTGCGACCTCCTCGCTCGACTTTCAAGGACTGGGGCATAGCGGACAGTTTACATTCGCCGTGATGACGGCGTTACCGCTTCTCGACCCGGTGAGGGATGGAGTCGATAACAGCCTTAGCTGTCTGGGTTGTGCAATGAGGCAGCCTTGGGTTAGGATATGTGGGTACAGGGGAAGAGGCCGGTTGGTCCCGAAGCCGGCTGGGACCGCATGTTGACAAGGAGGGAGTTCTTGGAGGACCATATACCTATCTGCCTTCCGGCAAAGAGACTCTGGAGGAACGGGCAGATCAAAGATGCGGAGACTGCGGCGGGTCGCGACACTAGATGGGCGTTGAGAGGTTAATTAGGGTGGTAGACTCGTACTATTTGGAGTCGTATTTCTATCCCGGTACTTTGACCGGACGGATTGGGCAAGAAGATGGTAGCACGATGAGCGTATTCAGCTTTCGTTAGTCTCATGCGTGAAACAAACTGACCAATCGGAAGAGCGGTACGCCGCCGGGATCATTTCGAAGTAGCAATCCAGCATCTTGCGAATCAACCCTCTGGGCCCCCGTTCTTTGGGGGCCAGTGTTGCCGCCATCTTCAACCCCATTTCCTCTTGCATTTTGCGAAACAACCCTCTGCCCCCCGTTCTTTGGGGGCCAGTGTTGCCGCCGACCTTCTTATCCTGTGCGCATCTTAAAGTGCGATTCTGGCATGTTGAGGATCTTAGAACTCTGTGCGTGCCACGGCGGCTTCTGAATGAGAACACCCTGAGAAACCTCGCCATGGACAACAATATGTCTCCAGAAGGAGAAGAGACTGCCCTACTACAAGTCACCACCTACCCCCGCAAGGAATTCGACCGCATCACCTTCCGTTCTTCCCCACGCGATGAGCGGAGCGTCCAACCTTACATCGTCGACCCATTCCCCACGACGCCATCCTCGCCGCCAAGTTTCCTCGGACGACTACCTCACGAGCTCCTGAGAAAGATTTGTCTCGACCTGGATATACGGAGTCTGTTCAGCCTCCGCCAGGTCGACCAACTCACCCGCCGAGCCGTGTCTGACCTCAGCGAGTTCCAGGCCATCTCGCGCCATGCCTTGGACGCCCTCCGCGCGTCTCTCCTGACGTACATGGCGCGCTATCAGACGCTGTCGGATATCTACGACCCTCTCCGCGACCCTTCATGCGCGTTCTGCGGGTCATTCGGGAGCTTCCTGTTCCTACCCACAGCTCAACGCTGCTGTTACTCCTGTCTTCATTCGAGTTCCTCACTAACTGTTGCGACCGTGCGCCGCATGCCCTTCGGGTCCGAGTGGAGGCCTCTGTGTTCTCGGTTCGACAAGGGCAATCCATCGTTCCGCCCCATCCCGGGCTCCTACACTCGGGACTCAGTCCGGGTGCGCTCCTCTTTCGGAGTGTCAGTATTGTGACGAGGAGCCACACGGTACAAGGGCCTCGCTCTCTATTGGGAGCGAGAGAGTTATGACGAACGACATGCCCACACTTACGCCGTTTCGACGGCGTTTCCATACCTTGACCGGGGGGCGGACGAGTCGTTCTACGGCCTCGGCTGCAAGGGATGCTGGAGGCGTGAACGACGGAACAGGGAAGTCGAGGCGTTGGAGGCGCTGTCTAGTTCCTACACGAGGGATCGCCAAGAAGTCAAGGCCTCCCGCGAGTTGTGGAACGAGGTATACTCGCGAGAGAGAGTCCTGGAGCATGTCAGGCAGTGCGAGGCGGCGCAGGAACTTTGGAGGGCGACTCTGTTGAAGGTCGCGAGGAAGGGCGTGAACCCCGATAAGCGTAGGAAATCCGGGAAGTCGTGAGCTTTGACGAGGGCGAAGAGGAGCAGGAGAGCCCAGTTCTCGGGGTGTTCAAGGCCGGTCTCACGTTCTCCTGCGAACTGAGAGCTATCCCTGACCGTGGTGGTTCTCTGGCAAAAGTGGAGACATAAATCACAGAATGTATGTGCTAACAGTGCTGGAGACTATAGGGGCGTCATATGACACTTGTTAGAAGTGTCTCCACGCCTGCTGTAAGTCCTGAGATGTCCACTCTCGTGTAGTGTCTGCTTCATTTCGGCGAAGCTCTTTAGCCCGAGCTACTCTGAGGCAGACAGTTCTCGGCTCTGGTGTTGAAGACAGTATCTCACTTTGGCACATGTTCCCTGTTATCGGTGAGCCGTCGTACTTCGGTGAGCGTTTCGACAGACTGGTCACACTATCCTAGATGTAGATCTTTGTTGCGGCTGCACTTCGGAGCATCCCAAAGTTGGAGCTCGTGGCTTCAGAGTGCATTCATCGGTGGCTTATGAGTGTGGCCTTTGTCATCTGCTTCTTCAGGCTTAGCAATCGGACTTGGGAGCCAGTCCTTGTACCCTTGGCCCTGGTAGTCATGGTGTCGGGTGGTTTTCTGCCCGAGTTGTTTTCTCCGCTGCTGAGACTCTATCTGCACTGTTCTACTGCACGCCACAGTTCTTACCCCACACGCAGCCCGCAAGCACAGCTAGATAATCCCCAACCGCGCCCTGGTTCTCCAACAATAGCCCGCAGCGACTCCTCCTTAGCTCAGTTGGCTAGAGCGTCTGACTGTTATTCCACGAAGGTGAAAAGAACATCAGGAGGTCCACAGTTCAAACCTGTGAGGGGGAGGCTCTTTCCTTTTGCCTCTGTTGCCGTCGACAGCGTGAAAGTGAAGCTATCGCGATCTTCTGTTTTGTGCGCACAATTCGGGCGCGTAGTGGCAGGTGCGACTTTTAAGTGTTTGCAAGCGTGCCTTCTGTTTTCGTTTGCTTCAAGCTCCTTCTTGCTGCACTCTTGTTCGATCTAAGCTTATGGGCGGTGATGCATGTAGAGCCTCCCACTTGACAATTCCGCGCAACAATATATCTGTGCTTTTGTTTACTTCTGACAACTGCGGCGCCGTCTCGTGCATCTCAACTGATAGTTGCAATTGTGTGGCACTCAGAAAAATTGTCAGTGGTTGATTCATCTTGTTTCAGGTCTTCACAACTCCATTAGACGCCGGCAATGGACAACTCGCTAGCATATGCAACTCCCAATACACCGGATGCCGTTCAAGGACTTCCTCCTAATTTCTCAAGTAGTCTTGACAATTCCTTCGGCCCCCATCCGCCGCCACAGGCTTTTTTACTCGGGTGGTCAACGGGAAGATCTATTGATTACACGACTGCAAGACACCAAGAAGACACCAAGTCAGGACCGCAAGAGACAGTGCCAGGTCAACTTCCCCAAATTCAACACCTACACCCCAATCTTGTAACCCCCAACATGACCACCGCCAAACCCGCCATCATACCTCGTCGCCGCCCTCGCCCTCGCACCCCTCGCACTATACGTCCCATTAAACCCAGCATACTTCCCCAAGCTAGGCGGCAAGTCCTGCACCCTCGTCCCCCAGCTGCTCTCATTCCTCCCCAGCGTCAGCACCAACTCCTTCCCCTCGGTAAAGAAACTGTGATCGATCCAATTCCTCCCGTAATTCACCCCATCCAGCGTCGCGCTCTGGATGTAAATCCCCTCGTAACTCGGATCAAAGTTCACATTCCTCACCCTCGCCGTCTTGCCCGTCAGCGGGTGCGTGACGTTGACGCTCTCGAAGAAGGGCGGGGTGATGAGGTACACGTCCTGTCCCGGGTTGGGGAATAGACCCATCATGGAGAAGGCCAGAAAGGAACCCATGGCGCCGCTGTCGTCGTTGCCCGGTAGACCGTCCGGCGTGGGAGCGAAGAAGGACGGGATGTAGAAGTGCGCCCGTCTCGCGGATAGGGCCGGGCGGCCGGCGTAGTGGTACTGGAAGACGGTCAGGAAGGCCGGCTCGTTGCCGATGTAGGTTATGTTCTGGTCGTGGAGGAAGTCCAGCCTGCGCACGAAGGCGGAGGGCCCGCCGTAAAGGGTCATTAGGGTTGCTTGGTCGTGGGGGACGAAGCTGTGGTGCATGTCAGCAAGAGCTGTTGCAATACAGCAACAACAATCACCAGGGCGTTGACTTACAATCCGTACTCCCATATGCTGCTCTCGAACGTCTCCCGGCCGGTGTTCTGCAGCGAGCAGACGCTGAACGTGTCGAGGTTACTGCAGTTCAGCGGGTTCTGGTACGCCCACGTCTTGTTCAGGAACCGCGGCTCGAAGAACCCGACGAAGCCGGTATCGGTCCCGTTCCAGAGCGACGACGGCTCGTCCGCCTTGTACAGGTTCTGCCAGTTGCCGCTGGACGTCGTGTACTTCTCCGCATCGGCTGTGTGTCCGAGCTTCTCAGCCATCTGGGAGATGCAGAAGTCGTTGTAGCTGTACTCGAGGGTCCGCGAGATGCTGCGCGTCATGGTGCCGAAGCCTTTGTAGTCGAAGTCCTGGACGGGGATGTATCTGAGGCTCTTCCAGCTGTCCAGTCCGCCGCGTCCTTCGTTCGACCAGTCATAGGGCTCGACTTCGGCGTCTTTTACTACGGCCTCGTAGCCTTTGTCCCACTAGTAAGAGATCAGTATGGTAATCGGTGTAGCTTGAGAGTGTTGTGTACGTCAATCCCATCCTCGATGCCTTTCAAAAACGCATCTGCAAGCACATTGTCGGCGTTGGAACCGCCCTGGTTGTGTTTTGTCAGCGGCAGACATGTTGCCCGGTGTAGGGAGAAGCTCACCTGCGTGTAGCCTTTGCACAGGCTCATGTGGCAATCCGGCAGCCATCCCTGGTGGACATATGTGTCTATGAGAGACCGGACCATCTCGGCGACCGCGCCAGGATCGAGAATCGTCAGGAAAGGTATCTGAGACCGGAAAGAATCCCAGAGACTATGACAGTTAGCCTCCGCGCGTGCAGTCCCTCGATGAACTCTGACCTACCAGTAAAAAGAGTCAAAGTATGGCTCGTCACTTGACCATAACGGGTTCTCGCCAGTGTAGTTCTGCGGGTTGATCATCGTCCGGTATATTCCGCTGTAGAAATTGGTCACCAGGGACTGGTTAACCCCTTCTCTTGCCACCTTGATTGGGCTGAGCTTCTCCCGCCACAAATCTGTGGCGGCTTTCGAGACTCTGTCATAGTCAAAGTCCGGTATCTCAGTCTCGGCATGCGCGCAAGCCTGCTCAGCACTTATGAAGCTCGTAGCCACCCGCACGAGGATAGGGTCTGCCGCCGACTTGAACCTCACAAAGACACCGCCAGGTAGCGGATACCCGTTGATCGAGCGTGAGATCGTCAAATCCTTGACCGCCGTGCTGGCGCGACTGTTGGCGAAGATGCCGTTGTCGAGGACATCCGCACCGGCGAAATCGGTACAAAAGTAAAGTACATAGTTGCCGCTCCCGAAGCTGGGGAGGAACCTCGCGCTGCCCGTGATGCGTCCGCTATCACCCTCAACTGATATTGTGGCATTGTCCTGCCTCGAATCGGACAGATCTGACAGGTCCTGTAGAATCAGCGGCTGCGCAGGCTGTCCGTCGGCACCCGTGCTGGGAAAAGTGAACCTGAACAGTGCCGTGTGTTGCGTCGTAGTCATATCCGCCCGGATGCCACTGTTGAAGGTTATCCCAAAAGCCCCCGGTTTTGCGGATACACTCTCGTTGGCAAAGGCGCCGAAACGGGCTCGACCCTTCTTAGGAAACACGCATTCGTTAACGTCGCCGCTGCGACAACTCGTATAAGGGAACAGCGGAAAGTTCCCGAGGCTCGGAAGTCCACCCGTACCGCTGTCGTGCATGACGCTGAAGCCGGTTACGTTCGCCCCGTCCAAGGTGAAGCCGCCCTGGTTGCTGCCGCTGTTGGTATCGGCCACGGCCTTCGCCATGCCGTAGGGGAGCGAGGCGCCCGGAAAGACATTGCCGCCGTTGCTGGCGCCGATGAGCGGGTCAACGTATGTTAACGGATCGAATGCCGTGGTGTCGCTCAGGGCGAGGCCTAGAAACGCGCTCAGCGCGAGTAAGCGCGCCATTGGAAGTGAAGAGGCGGAGGAACCCGATGCGAAGGGGCTCGAGCAACGAGAGACAGCAGCTACCATGCGCACTCCGTCCTAGATTTGTATTCAGCACCAGATCCCGTACGATGCACGAGGCCAGCCGTTGACAGCTTCATCCTTCATCCCCTCCATACCTCAGGCAAGCTCCCTTCTTATCTTCTCCAACAGTCCTTTAATATGCTGTTGTGGACCCATGTCCAGGAGACACCGGCACAGCATGTGCCTTGCAGCCCGGGCGGTTCCAAAGTGCCCTGCCGCAGTGCCGTTCCATTGCGGTCCAATTGCTGGTGTATTTTGCCGATCGTGACTACAAATTCCGGGTTGTTCGCGGGAGTGAGCTGCTTCTTTGGGGGTTCCCGGTTATTAAATGTCACCTGGAGAACCCCCGTATATGCAGTTCCTCCACGTCGATGCCGGTCAGCTGCCGGCGACCAACGGCAAACTGGATAAGCACTTGCCTGTCCGGGTGTGTTGAAGCAACCCCAAGGTTACGGCCGACGTCATGTCGAGCTCGCCATTGTTCTCGAGATAAGCCCCTATACCTCGCCTGGCGAGCACGAGACCCAGTCCAAGCTAGGCTTTCTGAAGGAGAAGCACGCAGCAACAATATGCAGTGACTTATTCTGGCTTGCTGGCAGAGCCTCCGGGTGGCAGACCAGCTGTCTGCATCCGACAATCTTCCTTACAAGAAGGGCGACCTGTATTGTCAGGCCATATATCTCGAGATGGATCTCGTGACGATGGTCCGTATAAGCTGCTCTCGCCTCCTTGTTCATCAAGCTGCACGCTCTCAGTTTCTCGAAGACACGTATACTAGAGAAGAGTGAGAAATACAGTTACGTGACTCGTACATCGGGGACAGAGCTGTGTAGAAGTAGAGGTAACTTCCCAGACTGTATCCGAAAGCGATGCCAGCTTTCCGACACCACCTACACTCCGCGCCTATTCGCGATTGTCGCTCCATAGATATCCAACGACAAAGCCAGCGGCCCGTAAGCCAGTTTGGCTGCTCTTCTATCCGCTCCGAGAAGGCAAATCGCTAGCCCCATTTCAGTTGTAGAAAGCCATTACGCTTCCAGTTGCGGGTTAGGTATACCACCTTAACTTGGTGATCTCGCTCTAACACCGTGCTACCAAGTCCATTCTCGAGCCATTCGGGAAGATCGATAAACATACACCGAAGCAGGAGACACCACGGCGTCTGATTCCGGATGCTCTCGGCGTGAACTGCTCTGGGAAATAATGGAATGAGATCATCCATTGGAAGGGCCGTGGTTGTGGTACGGCGAGGGTTCTGGGTGAGGAGGAGGTACGGCCTAGACTACGTCAGTATTGGCGTTTGACTGCGTTGGCGATGAGTTTGTTGTCGTCGTGCTCGGGACGATCTCGCTCGGCGGAGAGTGGGCCATGAAACTTTAGTGGCGTATCATAAGGGGTCGTCGCGGCCATAATGGCGAAAAGGTATTGAAAGTCTGAACAAGGTAGGCTGCTCCGCGATGCTCAATGTTGATCCGGTGGGAAGACGGCACTCGACGAAGATGATGGCCAACCTCTTATAGCCAGAGGATTCGTGTTTCGACTAAGGTTTCTACACCGCATTTGATAAGCGAATTCCGCATATGCGAGCATTTTCCAAGTCCCCCGTTACGTGCTCGGTCTCAAGACCGCATGCAGTGTCTGC